ATTATAAAATGATATGGCGACACTTTTGATTTTTGTATCGATACGCAAATGATGGCTCGGTCCCTTGGTATTCTTGATAACAAAATGGCCGATTCTTTTAAATATCTTGAAAAGCAGGAAAGCCATTCGTCTACTCCGAAAGAAGCAACTTATAAGAGGAACTGTAATCTATGACAAAAATGTTTTTTATGACCAGACACAGTTGTGTTAGTTGAGTTCAAGCGACGATCTCCTACAAAAGATTATTCGAACAAGTTCTACTTCCCAATTCGCCGGCAAGGGGAAAATCATGGTGGAAGCGTAGGATACAACAACTTAAAAAGTAATCGTAAACGATTTACATAAAGCGCATTTCCACTTGCATTCATTTCCTATTTGTAAGATGCAACTTTTGTTAAAATTGTAAAAATCCGGCCACAAATATGAAAGATAGCGTTGCACATGTGCAATCCATTTTTGACGTGCTACTTCAATTTCAGTTTATAAGAAGAGTTTCATTTCAATGCTTTTCTAAATAAGAAAGTTGGAACTGCGCATGCGCAAACCTAAATTTTGAAGCTAACGTTAGATTTTCCTTTGTTCCAAGTGGCTATGTATCGAATTTCATTTAAATGCCTCCATAAATAAAGAAAGTTGGCACTGCGCATGCGCAAAACCAAATTTTGAAATTGGCGTTAAATTTGCTTTTATTCCAAGTGGCTATGTATAAAATTTCATTTAAATACTTTTATAATTAAAAAAGTTTGCAATTCGGTTTATAAATGGTCGAGATGCGAAAAGGGCACTGTGAATTTTGAATCGATTCGATTCAACTTTTGGCATTGCGTATTATATGGCTAAAGCTATGCCCATATTGAATTTCATGCAATTCAGTTCATAACTAACGGAGATGTAAAAGCGATCGGACATTTCTGAACAAAGTTATCGTTCACACGGACAGATAGAGGGACAGACAGACAAAGGAACAGACGGACAGACCAACAGGCAGACGACAGACAGCAATGCAAAATTATAAACGATCTCTAGGACCGTTAATAAACGGCAAAAGTGTAACATGTAAAAAACGGTTTTTTTGTTTTTTTTACAATAACTTTTTTTGTAAGCGGTACAGAAAAATTCCTTCCTTGGTGCAAGACTCGACACCATAACGAACCAAATAGCGAAAAAAGTAGAACAATAGCTCTTAAGATAAAGAACTAGTAGCGTCGCAAAACGAGAGGACGGACGGACGGACGGACAAAGTGGCCACAATAGCGCATTTTTTTAAAATTTTGAAATGCGCTAAAAACGGATTGTGTTCAGAAATTCCGCTTCAAGTTTGTACGCTGTCAAAAAAGCAGTAGTTTGCAGCCCGTAGATTTTTTGGTAGATACACGAAGAGACTTTTCTCCCCTTTCAGCAGCGTGCCAGTCTGGATGTGTTTGGGGCTGCCATTAGGAAAATGTCATGAATGATGGAAGTGTCGGTAAGAAAACACAAACTTGTTGCATATTACTATAGGTAATATGATGAAAAAGATCGCTGTGAAATTACTTTTCTCGTATCAGTTACACTTAGAAGAAGAAGCGATAGCTGGACTAGACAAAAAGAAAAAGTGTCTAGAACTTCTTTGCACTTCAGAGATAAAAAGACAAACAAACTGGAATTGAATTGTTGCCACTAAAAGGTGTTACGCTCGTAGCCAGAGATATCTGTACAAAACGTACTTTTTTGTAAAACCGTCTTCGCTTGCGCTTCCGGCCGCGAAAATTGTTACAGCAAAACCACGATCGATTCATAGTTGGCGCCCCATTCTCATTTACTTTTTGCAACGGAAGGCGCCGGTTTTTGGCGATTTTGAAAACCGCAAGTACACTTTCTCAGTATATACGAAAGGTAATTGCACCTAAAATAGATTCTGGAAATTCTCCTGATTCAGCTCGGAAAAACCGACGCCGCCGTCGCGTCGTCCGTAATCTATATCAGGTACAATGTAATTTTCGGGATGGAACTATCGATTTAACCTCATCGAAAATGTAATTTGAGGTAATGGTTAAGGTGACACCGTGCCATTCGATATAAAAATAACTCAACTGCCTGGATGCTTTAGTATAGTAAAATGATCGTGCCGATTTAATTGAAATAAACGTGTGAAACTCCATTTTTATCTTTTGGAGGTACTTAAAAGTTAATAAACAAAGATTAAAAAAAGGCTCGTTTGCTTTATGTGCAATGACCATCTGTCTGATGCGAGTAGATATAACTAGGGGGTGGTGCGCGTGTTTAAGTGGAAGCGAAGTGGGGTGTGACGTCATAAACACGTGTGCACCAGAAAACTAGGAAAAAATGTACAGCTGTGTAGTGCTTACTACAATGTACTTTGGCAAAATTATCATTTTAATTGATTTTATCGAGCTCCTGCAGCGGAAATTCCTCATCGAGCTTCCAAATAAGTGTTTGTTGAACGTATTTACCAAAACTGAATTGAAACCTGTGCATGTTCAGATTCTTTCAGTTTTATGGATTGCTGTTAAAAAGCTAGCTGTTGATGCACCGAACATGAGCCTTTGCCCAGGCTGTAGAGTTACACTTCCATACTCGAACAGGGACCTTTTAGTTTGTAGCAAACCATCCGCTCAACCAAGATAAAGCTTTTCCGAAAGTCATTCAATTTGGTATTTTAAATCTCAATATGACACTACCCAACAGTTTAAGGCGTGTCCAAAACGTCCATATCAATTAAAGAAAAATGGAATGTTTGTTTCACAATATTGTTGTAATTAAGAAATTAAGAAAATTATTACGCTAGTAGTGATGTCGTCCAGACGTTCTACTTGCCTTTTATGTGTACCCTCTTCCGACACACTGTATTCGTGATATTCGCTCTTAAAGTTTTAACATTAGCAGTTCCTTTTACTTTTAATTAGAATACCATGAAAGATAAAAATGTAAAAAATGTACTGAAAGAAAAATGGACCAGGCAATGAACGTTGAGAAAAGATTCAGGAGATGCACCCATCTCATTTGCTCCATTGAATTGGTTGTACACACACTTCCCCTTATACTATTCGCGGAATTTCATATTCATATCTGTACTCCACTTTTGAGGTGCCATTGTTACACAGCGGTGGACTTGACAGTGTGACTGGTTCCAATGAACTGTCTTCGTGTAAACGCGGCATTAAATTCAACAATGGTTTTTCAAAAAATAGGTTTTAGGCAAATGTTTGTTGATAATTATTCCTAAATTACAAATGTTTTTTATCGGTCATCTACCACGTCCCAAAAAATATTAATATTGTAAGTTTGGAAGAGAGAGGCGTGCTCTCACCACGGCCAGGGCTTAATCAGGGAGAGGAGTACTCCCCTCGAAATTTACAAAATTAGTTCAAAATATTATCAATTCGTTGAAAAAGGCTTCCGTTCTTCTTCCGAAATGAATTCCTGGCAACGGTATTCGCGTGCGTGGAAAATACGTGATTTCAAGAATATGGCGCTAACGGTAGAAGTGAATGAATGATTTTTTTTAAAAACGTAAGACCTATACAGGGTGTTTTTTGGGAGCTTTAGTTAAAAGTTTCTGGGAAAGTAAAATAGGTAGGTTTTTGAAAATTTGTACTTAGGAGTTACTCTGAAGGCCGAATCGATGTAAAATAGGTTCAAAATGGCCGCACTTCCGGAAACACCGGAAGTAGATAGTAACTTCGTTATTTTAAATGGCAACCCCTATTTTTTATTGCATTTTTGGATTCTACGTGAAATTTCACTTCTTTTGATACCCATATGTCGATATCTGCCATTTATGGTTTTTAAGTTATTTTGACTTTAAGAAAAAAAAATGGCGGATGCAGATGGTACCTTGATAATTGATTACTTGAAAACGGTTGTAGTCATGGCAACCTATTTTTATCAGTGCATAGAGAATGAATAGGGCTTTCTTTTAGTGCACTTAAAAAAAAAGTTAAGTTGCGAACGACCGCCCCTATGGATATCCAAATTTATGAAACTTCAAAGACTAAAAACTCAGTTTTTTTAAATGGAATGACCATGTTCTTACTATTCCATGAGATAGAGAATCGAAATGGGCATATTTTGACAATACATGTTCCTATAGCTATCTTTAACAGTTTCTGAATTATTCCCATTTTATTGAATTGACACTATTTTTTTAGGATTTTCTTTTTAGTAGTCGGCCATGATTCTATGACAATTGAATTTTAAACAAATCTAGTGACACTAATCCATCACCCACTGTTATAGGTTAACATAAGTTTTTCAAAAATCGAAAAATGACTCGCAGTGGTTTCACCTATTTTGGAATTTAATTGTTATTTATGGTGAAATGGGCGGCGCGTGCTTTCCGTACATTCATTCGAAAACTGGAACGAAATTGTATGAATTTTGGAAATTTTGTACCCCTAATGCACTACAAACCGTTGAAGCACAAGTGATACAAAGCTCTACAAGAGAATATTTAAGAAAATGAATTGAATTGCAAATGCAAGATTAACAAATTAAATTCAATGCAAAATATAAAAAAACTTCGTTGAAACATTTTTGGTATGGAATTGTTGCTAGAACAGATATCGCATTACCTTTCTGAATTTCCAGACTTATAAGTTGTTTAAGAAATTCAGTTGAACGAAAAATCACCAAAAACACGTTAATAATAGCCTTCATAATTAAACTGTTTTTGATATAATAATGAGTCGATTAGTAACGCAAAGTAGATAATAGTATATTCTATAACGAGTATGGAATAGAGTGTATTCCGCGCGAGTGGAAAGTTCGTCACACGAGCCGAAGGCGAGTGTGACGGTTCCACGAGCGTTGAATACCTATTCCTTACAAGTAATAGACATAATTTTTTCTACTACTACGACGAATTTTTGCAAAATATGTAAAACAAGCAGGGTTAACTATAGACAATTCACACATTAGTATGGACGTCTATGTACGGTGGGTTGGTATAACAGATCCCTGTGGCATATTTGATTTGATTTGTCTAAATGGCTGTATAAACAAATTCCTCGACAATTTCTCTTCCCTCAATATTATCCCAGAAAAGGAAAACTAACTTTTCTGTGATATTATTTACAAATGTGCACATTTATTGAATGTGCCCTGTCCTGCGCAGTGTATCGGCGTGGATCATTTAGATTTAGATAAACATAACCATAAGCGATAAACGTATTCGAGATTGCGACCGGAATGTAATTCATGATGTGTATAAATTCAAATACAAAATGCTACAAAGAGGACGTTATGGATGCAAATTAGAAATAAACATCATAGCACTACTCGAAAAATTTGTATGTAAGGTATCTACGAGTGTAGGTAACATTTTAGTGAGCATTATATTTTAGGTTAGTTTTAAAACTTCCTGGAGGAAATGTGTTCTGGATGACCAACAACGTTAACTGTTTTGATATGGATGTTCTTTTTGTATAGTGCAGTGAGGTACATTAATTCATTGTAGAATATGCAACTTGATGTTTGGTTGTAGGTATACCAACGTACGGGTTCCTCGTAATTGTAAACTTTCGTTGTACATTAGTTTTCGTATTGGGTATTCTAATTACAGTTCCACCTAAGTCCACCGATTTTTATGTTCCACAATTCGTGCTTACGACAAGCACCACTAATGCCAACTATAAGAGCAACCTGCAAATGTAAAATAAATATGATGTAACGAGTAACGATTTGAACGTGTAATGTTATAGTAGATATGAACTGTCGGGGGTGCTTTTTGAATAAACATTTTTACTTTGCTCGTTGATAGAATTTTTGACTTTTTAGGGAAATAGCCGCTGGATTGCATTTTTAACAAGGCCTGCAACTTAGCATAGCTGCTTATATCTACATTATTGTTCAAAAGTATCGTAGAGCACAGCATGGAATACGTTTTCCACAATGTGGATGCTTTAATTTACTGTGATAGTTTGCTAAAGTAAGCACTACGTTCTCTGAAAATGAGTTGGTTTTTTTCTTGTCCTCCACTCCAAAAATTTGCTGTATGTATGTTCGTACACTTTTAGTTTGTCGGGAAGTAAATTTTTTTGCGTGTTCTGCTTCCACGGTGATTTCCGGGGGAGTATTTGAAAGTTCCATTAAATCCTCACTGGCCACTGCTATTCATTTTCGCGCTACCGGTCCTTAAAATTTAATATCTGGCGCAAGCGTAATTAAAATTTTGACAGTTTAAGAATTGTGGTTTAGGATGTCCTGTTTTAGATGTCGCCACATGTGCTCATTCCATCACAAGAGCTAGAATGAAATTATTCCACTTCACTAGCAGAGAATAGGCGAGATTCTGTTGTTAAAAAAGAAGCAAGTATGACGTGATTCTAAGGAAGTAGTAGAAAAAGATAGCTATAGGAACATGTAATATCAAAATATGCCAATTTCGATTCTCTATCTCATGCAATATTAAGAACATGGTCATTCCATTTAAAAAAACTGAGTTTATAGACTTTGAAGTTTCTTAAATTTGGATCTCCATAGGTGCGGTTGTACGCAACTTAACTTTGTTTTAAGTACAGTAAAAGAAAGCCCTATTCATTTTCTATGCACTGATAAAAATGGGCTGCCATGACTATAACCTTTTTCAAGTAATCAATTATCAAGGTACCATCTGCATCCGCCATTTTTTTTCTTAAAGTCAAAATAACTTAAAAACCATAAATGGCAGATATGACAAAAATAGGGGTTGCCATTTAAAATAACGAAGTTACTATCTACTTCCGGTGTTTCCGGAAGTGCGGCCATTTTGAAAATATTTTACATCAATTCGGCCTTCAGAGTAACTCCTAAGTACAAATTTTCAAAAACCTACCTATTTTACTTTCCCAGAAACTTTTAACTAAAGCTCCCAAAAAAAACCCTGTATATTATAACGCAGTGATTAAACTGGAAATTATTCACGGAGTACGTATGTTTGCAAATGGGGGCCGGTTCCGAGATTGCGTCATCTTCAAGTACCATGGAACGATAAGATTACCTGATGATGACGCAATCTCGGAACTAATGGTAAGCAATTTTTCCAATTTCAAGATTCAATTTGAACTGATTCCTTAACGATACTTAGATATGTAATTACTGAACTTCTTCAAAGTGACCTACACAAAATAATAGTTTCACACCAGCCACTCTCCTCGGACCACATAAAAGTTTTCCTGTATCAAATTCTTAGAGGTAAGGGAGATTTCGCTGCTTGGTTTTTTGCTGATAATCGAATGTTTTTAGGTTTGAAATATTTACATTCGGCTAGAATACTACATCGAGATATCAAACCTGGAAATTTACTTGTAAATAGCAACTGTGTTCTTAAGGTTGATCACGTTCAATGTACATACAGTGCGATAATCTTCTTATCTTGCAGATCTGTGATTTTGGTTTAGCACGCGTAGAAGAGCCCGATTCGAGCAAGCACATGACACAAGAGGTAGTGACACAATACTATAGGGCGCCCGAAATATTAATGGGCGCGAAACACTATACGGCCGCAGTGGACGTATGGTCAGTCGGATGTATCTTCGGCGAACTTCTCGGTAGACGTATCCTATTTCAAGCGCAGAATCCCATCCAGCAGTTAGAGTTGATCACCGAACTGCTGGGGACGCCGTCGCTCGACGATATGAGATACGCGTGTGAGGGTGCTAAGTCGCATATGTTAAGAAGGGCACCGAAACCTCCAGCTTTAACCGCACTTTACAGTTTATCTGCACAGGCGACACACGAAGTTGTACATTTACTATGTCAAATGCTCGTTTTTGATCCCGTAAGTACTTTGGTCCTCTGTAATTAAAATAATTGAAAAGTTAAAAACCTTTATTTTATAGCAGATGTTAAGTTGACTTTAAGATAAAGTGAAACAGATGATTGTGCATTCTTATGACAATTTCAAATGGGACGTGGAGCACGATATAAAATGAAGTTTAGATCAGAATGCAATCTTGTTACATTGACAACCTAAGCTTGCAATTTTGGACGTCTAAATTACATATCTATATTCTGCTATAAAATAAACACGACTTGTATAATAAATAACTATTATCAATTATCTACATATGCATGACTTTCAGGATAAACGAATATCAGTAGTCGATGCGTTGGCACATCCGTACTTAGACGAAGGTAGATTACGGTACCACTCCTGCATGTGTAAGTGTTGCTATACCACCGCCAGCGGAATGAGACAATACACGACGGAATTTGAAACGACCGCGCCGCAACCCTTCGACGACAACTGGGAGAAGAAGCTCACGTCGGTTCAACAGGTCAAAGGTAACCGGCACTGTGGTCATCAGACCGTTTGTCTTACCTCATTGTTTTTTTCAGAGGAAATGCATAAGTTTATAGCGGAACAACTAAATACAAGTAGGGTACCGTTGTGTATAAATCCACAATCTGCGGCATTCAAGAGTTTCGCCAGGTAAGACGGAAGCCGACTTCGCAGACCAGCGCAGCGCCATTGCATAGGTGACAGCACACTTTACCACTTGGTGTACGTCTATACGAATATTATTTAGTCGCTGTAAATGCTTCTGTTACCTTTTTTAAGTTTTTATATCAGATTGATGTATTTTTGTTTTCGAAACGGTTACGTACACCAACGGGTTTAAGTGTTAAGTTTTTTTTAATTATTAATGTTTTATTTTCTAAACAAATATTAATCTGATTAATCACTTCATAATCATTGATTTCCATGCTGGCGCGTGCGTTAACTATAGAGAGATAAATTTGACTAGTGTAGTCGTAGCTCACTCCTTAGTTCATCCTTTGTAGTACTCTTTCTTTGACACTAACATTTCTCTTCTTTGTTTTTAGTTGAATTATACTAAAAAGTATTTTTGAGATTTTTTGTGCATGGAAATCAGTAATAGTTCAAATTTTTCACATTTCTGGCCAGATGAGTAAGATGATGGTTGTGTACCCCGCAGGAAGGAAAAAGTTTGCATCCCTTTCAAGAAGACCCTTGAAATTCTGTTATCACCCGTCATCTTTCTATGTGCCGCGTGACGCTTTTTATTAGGTCAGTGCTTTCAGTTTATTCATTTATTTAACTCCTCATTTTTTTTGTAAAAGGTTAATTTCACATTTCTTGCAATTTTGTAAGAGCATGCCGATTATTTACAAAACAAAATTGCCTTCTGAAAGTCATCGTTATACACAGCAGTTCAAGCAGTAGATCACAATGTAAATATTAAGTACTTAATCCATCTATCATCTTCTTATCACATATACTAAAGCACAAACTGCTTTGTTCAGATCAAATGTTTTCATTTTGTTTTAAAATATTGTGAACCGCCCTGTATATACGCAAAAATATGCTGTAATTCTTTCAAAAAAGAAATATGCATATACGAAGTCACTTATAAATATAATAGCCTTTTCAAATATTAACAGGGAGCAATTCTGAACAAATATTATACTAAAGCTTTGTTCAGATCAAATGTTTTCATTTTGTTTTAAAATATTGTGAACCGCCCTGTATAAACGCAAAAATATGCTGTAATTCTTTAAAAAAAGAAATATGCATATACAAAGTCACTTATAAATATAATAGCTTTTTCAAATATTAACAGGGAGCAATTCTGAACAAATATTATACTAAAGCACAAACTTTGCTTCGTTCAGATCAAATGTTTTCATTTTGTTTTAAAATATCGTGAACCGCCCTGTATATATGCAAAAATATGCTGTAATTCTTTCAAAAAAGAAATATGCATATACGAAGTCACTTATAAATATAATAGCCTTTTCAAATATTAACAGGGAGCAATTCTGAACAAATATTATACTAAAGCACAAACTTTGCTTTGTTCAGATCAAATGTTTTCATTTTGTTTTAAAATATTGTGAACCGCCCTGTATATACGCAAAAATATGCTGTAATTCTTTCAAAGAAGAAATATGCATATACGAAGTCACTTATAAATATAATAGCTTTTTCAAATATTAACAGGGAGCATGGATCCAACTCAAAAAAAAAAAAAAAAAAAAAAAATACCTACTGGATTATCTGGATTCTGGAATAGGAGGGTGGACAGGGTCCACGCGTATCTAAGCCTCAAATTCGGGCCGTTTGTACTACCTCCCTGACTAGAGTCGTTCAACCCCTCAATGTCATTTTTTTTTTATTATACTTTGATTTTATTAATTAACACGACAAAGCCATCATGGAGTTCTATATAAACCCCTCAATGTCACTCAAGCCATCCCACACGTGAGATGAATCTACGGATGCTGGAAGGGGAGGCGGCTCTAATCGTAGCCATGTCCGGCCAAGATACCCCCAACATGGATCGTTTCAGTTGAACTAGAGCGGAACATTCACAAAGTATGCGTTGTGTGTCGTATTTTTTATTCATTTTTTTAATGTATGCTAATTTGGAGTAAATTTGGTATCAAAAACCATAAGGCTAAACTTTGGAAACTATTGGTTTCAACAGGATGGTGCACCTGCGCACAACGCCCTAATCGGCGAGAATACCTGTCACACACATTCCCTGGTAATTGGGAAATTTGTGGGGTGGGTATTCTCCAACGGTTCGTTGAAATTTTCTACTCTTCTACTTCTAGTAAAGAGAAATATATCGCAGTAACAAGTGAAAAGGTTTTCGTCCGAGTAAATTCAGCGCATTTTTAGAGGCATCTATGGTTAAAATTCCACAGAAGTATCTAAGCAAGTTGGCACTGCGGAGAATGCGCATGCGCACATATAATATTCACAATATGATATAAAATGTTTGCATTTAAGACAGTTGATATTGCGCATCCTGCGATATGTTTGCCTTTACTAGAAGTATCTGTGGTTAAAATTTCAAAAAAATATATTAATAAAGAAGAAATTTGATATTGATTTGATGAAAAACGTTGAGTATCCAAATATGCAGGGTGTATTAATTAATAGTCTTCTGTCAGTCTACTGCTTGAACTGTCATCGGTCAGGTCATTTGTTTTGTAACCACCACAAATTTGATGTTTTCAGAAGGCAATTTTAATAAAACTAAAAAGCATTAGTAACAACAATTGTAACGTACTGTATTTGTTGTAGTTCTACAGTGGCGCATCCGTCAGAACTACCGCCTTCGCCGCATCAATGGGACTGACCTTGGAATAATCGTAGGTAACATGGTATTTATCAACCTGCAATTCTGTTTGCCAAATTCTTCATTTCGTAACGTGATAAACAAGTGTTCATTTCTCCGCTGATTTAGTTTACCGAGAGAGCTTCAGTAATAAGTAACAGTACACCAAATGTTAATTCAGGGATAAAAGCAAAACGCAAAAAAATAAACAATGTTTGTACTACAAAAAAAAATGGACTCAGTGTGTTTCGTGTGTATATTAGTCGCTCAGAGTGTGTGATTGTTAATGTACCAAGTAGATCTGCCAACATTTAGAAGTGTACAGTTCTCACTGCCTTTTCTTAGTGATAGTAGGTATACATATTGTTTAGTTTGATAAGACTGGGATGGTTTTGTATTAATTCTGAAGCATCTTTTCAATTTCCTTTTCTAGTTTACACTCTTCCTTCCTAATCTTAAAACAATTAGAAATTTGTAGATTAATTGAAAAGTTGCTTCCAAAAACACACCACCAACTGACGTTCGAGATTAGATTAATTTATGTAACATTTAAGACTGTATATACATAGACCATAGCGTAATCAACTTAAGTGTGCAGCTCTGTGAAATTTTCATCATAGTGAAATAAATGTGAAAAATTTACACGTAGAACTGTAGTGTAAAGTGTAATAATTGGTGTAAGTGTGCAATGAATTATGATAGACTGCCGTGATACATATAAAAATGCATTTAACCGTTTTAATACTTTTTAAACTTTTCGTCGCAGGTAGCGAATTTTCGTTTAGGTAATTTTAACAAAACAAACATAGATTTTAATTCGGTGGTATTTTGTCACAAATTGTGCAATAAAATTGGCAAATTCTTCTCTTTTATATGACTAATAACATTTTATTTTGTAAATATGAACACTTTTATTAATCAAAATCATCATTGAAGCTTACAATATTAAGTGCAAATGTGAGCAATTCATACTTGTTGTAATATGCACGTTGGTGGTCTATTAAGCTGTTTTAAAACGCTTTGTACACATTACACATGAATATTTTTTAGTCACTCTTTTATTCGTTAACAACCTTCGACTGTAATATTATTTGTAGTTTTTTTTGTTCAATCAATTAATTCGGTTTCGTATGTACATATATTTTAATTTGATTGGGTAATTGTTTGTTTTTAGCATGTAATTAATGAATGAGGAAAGCCCGCTCAAATAATTAACCTATTTTAATTTTGATTGAGGTGGCGTGAAAAAGTGTCGCAGAACCTTTTGCGACAATTTTTCTCGCCACCTTAATAAATAGAACTGTAGTATGTACAACTGCAATTCCAATTTTATTTCAAGAGATCTCATACAGATGTATATAGTTTCCTAATCATATTTTTCTTTTTTAAGTACGGTCAGTCTATGTTATGCGATTGTCATCTTAGTATCTAATATGAAAAAATAAACTGATACTAAAACAAGTCTTTGATTTCTTCATTGCAGTATTTTGTCTCTTTTTGTAGGAAAATACAAAATCTTCGGCTTAATGTAATATCTTTAATCTTATTGTGACATACCCCTAAGGTTAGGCAACACACCTTACATTTGAAAGAGTAGGGAAAATACGAAGTTTGGCGTCGGTTAACAGTATTCGAATCCAAAACGTGTTTGACAAAGATCATGTAGTATGATCTTTGTGTTTGAGAAATGGGACGTCTATTCCGTGAAGGAAGTATCTAACGGTCTGATTCTTTGCTGTATCTGTTACTGCCTTTGTTGTGTGTCTTAGAATATACCAGAAAAGGGGATCTCTAATTAACCTTTCTTCTATTATTGAAATAAACGGATTATACCTTCCACAGAGCTGAGGAGTATTCCATTTTGTAAAAACTTTTTAGTATTCAAATCCTTTAAAGTATTCAAATACTTTGTAATTAAATACTTTTATGGAAGCAGTATTTGTAACTCAAATACTTTCACAAATATTTAGTATTCGAATACTTCGCAAAGTATTTGGATACTTCGTAAAGTATTCGAATACTTCGCATAGTATTTGAATACTTAACCTTCCTTTTTTACCAAAAATCGACTTTTTCGATCAGACTTCTCAATCAAAAGTTATAGACTAGAAACCAATTTCGAAAGAAAATTCAAAGGGCTGTAACTTTTGAACTAGTAGCCCAATCTTGTAACTGTTTGAAATTATGGATTCTACCGGCCACTTTCGTGGTTTACTCCTTTGACAGCGAAAGGCACAAATCCCAAAATGTTTATAGCCTTGCCTGAGTTTTTGGATTAAAATAAACAAAGTAGAATACATTGTGCTGACATCTGTCTTTATTATTGGGAACTAACATTTTATCGCTAAATGCAGGACACTTTATTACAACCATTATTTTAGTTGGAACTTACACCTCAAAGATGTCGCCACACTAATTTTGTAATGTACCTTATGAAACTAACGTTAGATGTCAGCGCGAAGTTTTTTAAAAACCATAGATATATGAAGTTTTAAACTCAAATGCATATTTTTTTTTGGGTTGGATCCATCGTTCCTCGAAATGTGGGTTGAAATATATTGTGTGATCAAAACTCTCTAAACCTTCCCCCATATAGTTTTTCTTCGTTGAAGTAAAGAACTATATGGGGAAGGTTTAGAGAGTTTTGATCACACAACTCAAATGCATAATGAATGTTAGATTATTTTATAGTCAAAAATTAAACTTTGTTATCATTCCTTTCTCGCTTATAGGTTTAAATTAGGGAACTGGCTACTGGGGTCTGGGAGTGACAGGAAAGCGGCAGACTCAACCTTTGCGGAATATGATACTGTTCGCTCTGGGTCTTGCAATCGAAGACATGTAGTTCTCGATGGATGAGAAACGTTAGCATTGAATTCAGACAACACAAATTGAAAAGGGAAATGCTTTGTAACCAAAACAGGAGGACACCGTGGAGAACTCGCAGAAAACCCATTCTAATGCAATTCAAACTTCTCAAGGTTAAAATCGGAACGATTACATGATTCCAGCAGCTGGCGATGGTGTGAAGCTATTCTTTAAGGAACTGAGCCTAGAGTTTATTTGATAGTACTACGGTTTTAGAAACGGTAGTGAAATTGTCAGCGAAATAAGGCAAAAGTGTTACGCAGTTTGCAATCACGAAAAAATGTGTTGTTTGTGCGATCTTCATGTGAAAGTTGTTGTAAAACGGTTCAGTTTAATGTACCTGTTATTGAAATTGTTCTTCCTAGGGTTTTAAATAAACTCCTATGCATAAGAAGTTACGAACTGCAAAAATAAATGTTTTCTGTTCATTGAGCATGACGTGTTGCCTACAAACCAGACTACACAAATATCGAGTGCCCATATTCAAATTAGGGATTTGCTTGAATCTTCCCAATCTGCCGTTTTTATTGAGGGTAAGGAGGGCCTCCACGAACGAATGGCCCAGGGCACTGCATTTAAGGAATAATAAGTGCAACGTTGCTATTAATCGCATAAATTCAAATTAAATTTTAAAAGAATTTGCATACGTGGCGACATCTCAACTAGACTTCTAAAACTATAATTGATAGAATTACCGAAGGAGATGGCGCACTAGTACTTGTTGTATTTAAATTATCTATTCAAAAACCGGGCCTTTAAACTACAATTCCTCTACAGATCTTGCAAGACTCCGTAAATTTTGAACTGCCATTTATTCAGACTTCTCAATCAAAAGTTATAGACTAGAAACCAATTTCGAAATAAAATTCAAAGGGCTGTAACTTTTGAACTAGTAACCCAATCTTGGAACTGTTTGAAATCATGGATTCTACAGGCCACTTTCGTGGTTTACTCCTTTGACAGCGAAAGGCACAAATCTCAAAATGTTTATAGCCTTGCCTGAGTTCTACGGGCCAAATTTTATAAGAAAATTTTTTCCCGGTCGATCTCAGACATTTTTTTTCCGGCCTCAAAAAAAGGCAGTACCTACTAACTTAAGAACAATAGGGACCTTTCTTATATCCTTAAGACCATGTGTACCAATTTTCAAAGCGATGGCACGTTTCTAAACAAACTATCATGCACACGGACAAACGGATGGTCAAAAATGGATCTGTTCCAAAATCGCTAGGATTAATTTCAGAAAGGCGTAAGTATCATGTGCACGACGTACGATCGCTTTGAAAACTGGTACACGTATTCTTAACGATATAACTGGTATAAAAAAGGTCCTGGTAGGTACCTCCTATATAATAATACAGGGAGTCTATAAAAGAACTCCGGGGTTTAAAAAATTAATATTTTTTAAACTATAAAAGATAGCAAAATTTGATCAATTCCTTTGAAACAAGCAGCTCAAAGAGTTTTACTCATACGAATTGGGAATGTTTCTCTCAACAGTTGGCAGCGCTGCGGAGCGTTGACCGTGAAATGACGTAACGGCTGCGGCAGGCAGTCAGTGTCGTCTGGACTAACTAACTAACGGAGCTCACATTGAACTTTACTAAGTTGTTAAAAATCTTGAAAATGTAAGCTTTCTAATCATGTATAAAACATGTATGTACGTTTTTTACTGTATTAAAATATTTTGTCTTAAAACCCCGTAGTTCTTTTATAGATACCCTGTATAATAATAATATTACGCTTTTACTCCCCTTAAATTTGTATATAACAATAAAGATATAAAAAAAGCTAACCCCAATCAAAGTATAACTTGATTTTTTAAGTAGTATTAAGACTTTTATCTAGGTATACTATTTTAAATTTTTAATGTATTTGCGTGACAAGTATTTGAATACTTTTTACTGTATTGGAATACTTTTCAAAGTATTCGAATACTTATGAAAGTATTCGACTGCATTCTAAAGTATTTGAATACTTATTTTTTTTAGTATTTGAATACTTTTCAATGTATCTGTATCTAGTATTCGCTTGTGCTGGACGTAAAAGTATTTAGTATTCAAATACCTTTGATTTGTGTAAAGTATTTACTATTTAGTATTCAAATACTTTTTGAAAGTATTCTGCTCAGCTCTGGCCTTCCATATGAAATTTAATAACAGTTTTTCTGTTACTTAATATAGTTTTGGTTGTGCATTAATAGACTTAACATGAATACTTACTACTGGCATTCTCATACATACTTTTTGTGTTAAAATTATGGTCGTCCAGTCTGGAGTAGAGCCCATTTTGGTTTGTATGTACATGCAATTTATCACTGTACGAGTGGTTTTATCTAAGTTGAATGGTAGGTGTCTTTTGCACTTGATTTGATTTCTCCTGTTTCCCCTTTGTGTTTATGATTTCTCTTGTAAGTATTTCGTTCTTGTTGATTTTCATATTTGTATGTTTGATTTGTATATTTTTCTTGTCATAGGTGATTTATTTCGTGTATTTGTGTAGGCTATTCCAGGTTCTTTGGCCATAAAAGGTTTTCCTGGTACCTACCACCTTTTGTGTGTTGATTGCTACACAGATTGTTTTTCCCTATGTCTACATTTAACTGACAAAATCACTTCTGAAGGAGCATGGATAATCGTTATACCAGGTTTTTTGTCCTTAATTAGTGATCATTAGTGATCATGGATCGTGGTTGCAAGAATCGAATAAATGGATAAGTGGCTAAGGGTTGGTACGGGCGAATGGGTTTCATAAACGGCTTAAAAAGCTTTTCATTTATCTTTGACCGAAGGTATGCGAAGGTTACTTAAAAAGTTTTCCCTTGAAGTGTGCGAAAAGAAAAATAAATAAAGGAACTTCCCTGTTTATTTTTGCACAAATTTATGTTCTTCATAGCAAACGGCGTTAAAAGTTCAGGCGCCATTATTCTTTGTTTATTAGAACTCATGTCCTAAATATGCACTTAGTATTCAGACATAAAAGAGCAATGCTTGAAATAAAAAGTATCAAACAATAAACATTTTTTTGTTAAAAAAACTTATGTCAGCAGTGAACAAGGAACTGTTCCCATTTTTAGGAGGTGGAGGTGAAAGCTTCGTTTACTTTGTCGCACTTTCACCTTTGAAATGGGAATATGATAGTTTCTACATGCGTGAATTTTCTGTGCTAAATCGTCGCACCCCTTCAGTTTTGAAGGATGTCGATTATGCGATTAAATTAAATAAATGGCACGCATTCCCATATGTACATCCATTTACATTTTTAAAATAAATAAATAAATGACATCACGCGCACGCCACCAATTTCGATCGAAATCCAATCCAAATGTGCGTCTATTAGACACGCTCAACTTTGACCTAAAAATTTTGATATGAGTCTTTCTAATTAACCTAAGCAATAATAAAATATGTCTTTGACGAGGCTATAGCTGTAAAGTTCATTCAGAACGCGCAACCTTCTGGCGCATGAAATCATCGTCGCAAAAAATAATACACGCGCTTTACTACAATTTATTATTCAAACGATCGAAGAAGCGCGCGAAGAAATTCTATTTACTTACATTTAAAAATTACTTATTCTTGCAGTGAGGTATGATACCGCACGCGCTAATTTCTAACGCGAGGGTGTAATCTTGGCGTTTCTTTTTTAAATTGTGATATTTGTGATGAACTTAACCATTAATAGTGGCTCAAGTTGTACGATGGGAAATATGCAACAATGCTTTGTAAAGCCAAAATATAAGCTGCCGCCCTCACCAATTAAGGTAAGAGTTTCATCTTAATACATTGATTTGTACTAAATCGAAGGTAATGTACAAAAAAGTGTTTATTTTTAGTGATGTATCATCACATGCGATAGAGGTAACGGAGTATGTATGTAATATTTTGTATTCTAATGTGTTTATATTTGGAACGCCAAACATTTGGCAATTATCAACCGTAAAAATTACATACCAAGCCTGACCCCTTGTGAATTTAGACTGCAAATTTGTTTATTTATTATTAGGCCACGAGCTCGGATTTTATGGGGAGCTCTCAAATGAAGAAACTAAAAGTTCAACTGTCGTACAAGACAATATCAATACTTGCAAACAAGTTTTTGCAAATGTTGTTGTCAAACATGTGACCCAATCGCACGTGGTGGTTTGCGCACTGACACCGGTTACGTTATATACCTAATCGTAATTTAACGATATTGGTGACTGGTGGTCTGGGGCAAGACTATTTTTCGGAATTTCAATTTCAAAAAGTGAGTTTAGTTGCCAATTTGAGGGTGGGTGGGGCGCGGAATTATTGTAACGTAAATTTAATTACGTGATTTATTTTTTTACAATAAATTTACAATAAATTTATAACAGTTAATTAGTCTTTATCACTCACAATTTATAACATAACACGAGTGCGAACTGTTTACCACTGTTCAGGTCCGTATCAGAGGCTGCATGTAGCCCTTGTAAAATTAATTTGTGATCGATGATCGAAACAGTATGTTTACGGTGACCGAAACATATTATTTAAAAGCATTATAATGCACACGGCAACGCTGTTAGAACTGACTGAAGCACAATTAAGTTTTGCCTATGTTGCAAACCCCAGTCTTTCTCCAACGCTTTCGAATATTCTAGAACAACACACGTCATATTTCCCGGAAAGAATCCGTATTGGTTTCCTATCGCCGGTCGCTAACCTTTTATGGCGCCTCGATGCCTATCTGGGTTTCTAGATTATTCCTATCATTATATGTCTAAAAGAGATGGAATGGTATAGGACATTACAACAAAGCTTTTTTTCAATTAAACAATTAAACCAAGGGTGCAAAATGTTACGTTTGAAAACCGCGTTTTAAAAGCCCCAACATTCGTGACTTTGTCCGCACGTATTTATAATACAAAAGGGCGCACACTTAGATGGACTAGCATCACGCTATAATTCTTAGAAAATTGTATGGAAACTCGGGTAGTTCGAAGATATCTCTGATTTGTTTATACGAGGTGCTAACTAAATTCTAAATAAAGCGACAAACGGTAAAAAAGTTAAAGACTGTTAATTTGTGCTTTCTTTTGCTGCAAATCCTAAGTTATAAAGATAACTTTGGACATTTCCATACTGCAGAAAATTGGTAATTTTTTCCATAAATAAACTAATTTGGAACTAGTACCTAAATGGTGAGGAACTTGAAGAACTGTTGTGCCGATTTAAAATTCATCATCCATTTTTCGAGATTCACTTTCAAAGGCACCATCCAATTTTTCAAATCCAAAGGAGAAAATCAGAATATTTTAACGCATCGATAAATGTGAGTTATTTGAATTTCTGGCATTGTGTAAAAACCAGCAGTCGACCGTTTTTGGGAATTTTGTATGAGAAATTTGCACTTAAAGTCATTATAAAGTTCCTGAAGATTTACGGGAATTTATTCCGTGAACCAATTTGTCTATTTTTATGAACGATAAGTGAATTGTGATCTAGGTAATTAATTAGAATTGGACGTGATCACGAGACAGGGTTTAAACTTTTATTTTGTATTAATTACTTACATGAAGTACATCAATCTTTTAAATTACAACCAATGTACCTAACTAAATAAAACTGGAGTTGAAATGATATTATTTTCAACAAGAACCAACTTTCCTCAAGGTAACAGCAAGCGATAATTTATTTATTACTGAGCTAGCCGTGGTATTTTACCTCCCAGTGCCGTAGAGAATCAGCAAGGCGTGATTACTTGACCATACATTAATTTCTTGAGGTTTTGCTTCTTGCTAGAACATTCCACAGTACGATACATGTTTTGGACAAAGAAAATTGTTCGTAGAAAGGCAATAATTATTTAAACCTACTTCTGCTGGGTACCTTCTATCAATAATTTATATAGCCACATAAAAAATATAATTAAATCATAAATATAATTTGTTTTATTAACAAACGTCGCTATATATCTCGGTTGTCCATCGCCCCTCAAGTAATTGTGTTCTCGTTCAGAATGAAGTTGATCGTACTCCTTCTCATTTTGTCTTTGCAACAGGTATCTCTTTCTTCCCGATAATATAATATCTTAAAATTGGTGAACTTTAAAGATTTCGTCAAATTGGATATACGACAGGCAATGGAGAGAGATCTCGAATCCTTACACTTCGCCAGCGGTTTATGAGGCTTTCCATAGTACGTATTTGTAGTCATTGATATTTTTGTGTTGCAGTTTGTGTACTTTCAGATAAGGAGAAAGCTCCGGAGGATGTAAAGGGATGCGTGCGAAGGGTTTTGCCGGAATTCGTGATTGATGTAATTGAATGGATCAAAAGAGTTATTATTTATATCGCGCATATTATATATTCACCTCTCTATGCTTCTTTCTGTGCCATAGAGGCTGTTATTAATATGGGAAAAAAGGTTGGCCGCATCATTTGGGATCCATTTGGCTCAGTTCAGAGAGTTTTATCGATATCCTAGGTGTCATTCGGTACAGCCTTTAAATGTACATTAGACTAATAAAGCAATGGTGAAGAATGATGTTTCGTTTTTCTCAGTTTCTCCCGATTGATTTTAGCCAGCTATGTTAATCTTAGGGTGGCTTTACCTACATGCAATAGTTGTGCATTATCAGTCGACACGTTGATTCGTCAAGATTCTTATTATGGATAGATTATTTAAATAATTGTACATCAACGTATTATAGGTACTATAAATAATAAAGTATAAACATATTGGAGGAAAGCGTACTTACCGTTCCATTATCCTTGTATAGAAAAGTTTTTTCTGAGCAGGATCAGTTTGGGATACTGCAAGAAAGTGGATAGAGAAAACTATGAAAATGGACAATATTTGATACAAAAGCTACCGATGCATATAATATCTTGTTAAGGATCCTTATATCCTTTATAGTTTTGTATTGTCGTTCGTCCGTCCGTCCGTGTGCGCTCTAATTCTTTTTAAAAGTGGCCGATTGTGTTGAAATTTGGCGTACGGGAACTTTGGGCATTAAGGACGGACGCTTTTGGTTTTCAAGAAGCTGGTTCAACAGAAACAAAAGTTATAAGGCTTCGAGTGAATCGGGAACAGGAAAAACTGCGGGCTCAATATAATAGAAATCAACATATTTCATTCCCTAAGTCATGTATCGAGTTTGGACTTTCGCTACATTATGCCCTATGACCCTTAGATGTGTAATCATTCAATATAACTCTTCTCTGTGGTCAGAGCTGGACAGTATTCGATTTTGTAAATACTTTTTAGTATTCAAATACTTTAAAGTAGGTATTCAAATACTTTGTAATTAAATGCTTTTATGGAAGCAGTATTTGTATTTGTAACTCAAATACTTTCACAAATATTTAGTATTCGAATACTTCGCATAGTATTTGAATACTTAACTTCGCAATTAAAAGTTATAGACTATAGAAACCGATTTCGAAAGAAAATTCAAATCGCTGTAACTTTTGAACTAATAGCCCAATCAACGAACTGTTTGAAACTATGGATTCTACAGGCCACATTGTATAAGAACATTTTTTTCCGGGTCGATCTGAGACAATTTTTTTTCGGGCCTCAAAAAAGGCAGTGTACCTTCCTTTTTTTACCAAAAATCGACTACACCAAAATTTCTCGGGAAAACACTTTTTCTTATTAATTTGGGTGCATAGAATTCAAATCAATTCGTACTTTTTCGATCAGACTTCTTAATCAAAAGCTATAGACTAGAAACCAATTTCGAAAAAAAATGCGGGCTGTAACTTTTGAACTAGTGGCCCAATCTTGGAACTGTTTGAAATTATGGATTCTACAGGCCACATTCTATAAGAAAATTTTTTTTCCGGATCGATCTGAGACAATTTTTTTTCGGGGCTCAAAAAAAGACAGTGTATAACCTTCCTTTTTTACCAAAAATCGACTACACCAAAATTTCTCGGGAAAACACTTTTTCTTATTAATTTGGTGCGTAGAATCCAAAACAATTCGTACTTTTTCGATCAGACTTCTCAATCAAAAGTTATAGACTAGAAACCAATTTCGAAAGAAAATTCAAAGGGCTGTAACTTTTGAACTAGTAGCCCAATCTTGGAACTGTTTGAAATTATGGATTCTACAGGCCACATTCTATAAGAAAATTTTTTTCCGGGTCGATCTGAGACAATTTTTTTTGAGGGCCTCAAAAAAAGGCAGTGTACAACCTTCCTTTTTTACCAAAAATCGACTGCACCAAAATTTCTCCGGAAAACACTTTTTCTTATTAATTTTGGTGCGTAGAATCCAAAACAATTCGTACTTTTTCGATCAGACTTCTCAATCAAAAGTTATAGACTAGAAACCAATTTCGAAAGAAAATTCAAAGGGCTGTAACTTTTGAACTAGTAGCCCAATCTTGGAACTGTTTGAAATTATGGATTCTACAGGCCACATTCTATAAGAAAATTTTTTTTCCGGGTCGATCTGAGACAATTTTTTTTCGGGGCTCAAAAAAAGGCAGTGTATAACCTTCCTTTTTTACCAAAAATCGACTACACCAAAATTTCTCGGGAAAACACTTTTTCTTAATTAATTTTGGTGCGTAGAATCCAAAACAATTCGTACTTTTTCGATCAGACTTCTCAATCAAAAGTTATAGACTAGAAACCAATTTCGAAAGAAAATTCAAAGGGCTGTAACTTTTGAACTAGTAGCCCAATCTTGGAACTGTTTGAAATTATGGATTCTACAGGCCACATTCTATAAGAAAATTTTTTTCCGGGTCGATCTGAGACAATTTTTTTTGGAGGGCCTCAAAAAAAGGCAGTGTATAACCTTCCTTTTTTACCAAAAATCGACTGCACCAAAATTTCTCGGGAAAACACTTTTTCTTATTAATTTTGGTGCGTAGAATCCAAAACAATTCGTACTTTTTCGATTAGACCTCTCAATATAAAATTATGGACAAAAAACAAATTTCGAAAAAAAATTCAAAGGGCTGTAACTTCTAGTAGCCCAATCTTCAAACTGTTTTAAATTATGGATTCTACGGGCCAAATTCTATAAGAAAATGTTTTTTCCCGGTCGATCTCAGACATTTTTTTTCCGGCCTCAAAAAAGGCAGTACTTTTAAGTTATTCAAATATTTGAGAACAATTTAGAAATGTTTAGGGAAAGTTTCCATTGTCACAAAATCAAATATAAAAATCCGATACAACTGAATACCGAACGATCCTGGAGTGAAACTTTTTGATTCGATAGTCTACGTAACTTAAAAACAATAGGGACCTTTCTTATATCCTTAAGACCATTGTGTACCAATTTTCAAAGCGATGGCACGTTTTTAAACAAACTATCATGCACACGGACAAACGGATTGTCAAAAATGGATCTGTTCCAAAATCGCTAGGATTAATTTCAGAAAGGCGTATGCATCATGTGCACGACGTACGATCGCTTTGAAAACTGGTACATTTATTCTTAAGGATATAAATGGTATAAGAAAGGTCCTGGTAGGTACCTCCTATATAATAATATAATAATAATATTACGCTTTTACACCCCTTAAATTTGTATATAACAATAGAAATATAAAAAAGCTAACCCCAATCAAAGTATAACTTGATTTTTTAAGTAGTATTAAGACTTTTATCTAGTATACTATTTTAAATTTTTAATGTATTTGAGTGACAAGTATTTGAATACTTTTTACTGTATTCGAATACTTTTCAAAGTATTCGAATACTTTTTATAGTATTCGAATACCTTTGATAGTATTAGAATACTTTTGAAAGTATTCGAATACTTTTGAAAGTATTCGAATACATTCTAAAGTATTTGAATACTTATTTTTTTAAGTATTTGAATACTTTTCAATGTATCTGTATCTAGTATTCCCTTGTGTTGGACGTAAAAGTATTTAGTATTCAAATACCTTTGATTTGTGTAAAGTATTTACTATTTAGTATTCAAATACTTTTTGAAAGTATTCTGCCCAGCTCTGTCTGTGGTATAGGTCAAAAGTTTTAGAGCAAAATGTACCCAAAATTATTCTTTACACATAAATTTGGAGTTGTAAAAGCTTTCAAACGCATTATCTTGATGCTGAAAGGGTACATCACGTGCACATTTGATAACCGCATGTGTGTTATTCAAAGTATGCGCGTCTCGGTACAGGTCTTTGTAGCAGTTTCTCTTTCAGAGTTTGATCAATAACCATAACTATAAAACCTACGGTGATATCGGGTTTGGCATATTGTCTTGTTATCAAAAGAAGTTACCATATACTTCTTTATGGGCCAAATTCTCTATGCTTAAGTCAACGTTGTTGGTTCATAGAAAAGTAGATATAGGATGATACAGTAGGCTGGACGTTTGCGAATCAGCACAAATTGTGTGCCGGAATTTTTGGTTTTTGGGTTATGGGGAATAACTTAGCTATACTTCTCCTATCGCCAGTAAAAACTCACTTACCTGGCTAATAATGTAAAATACTATGTATTACCATTGAATAAATAGTGTTTTTATTCAATGGTATTACTAAATATCATCTATTTAATTTGGAAAAATATTTAGATAGATCCCTAGCATGTGGAGAATAATTAGGCATTGTAACAACTAGATTACTATTTCCTAATGTGGACATCAGTGGTTACATTTCCAATCCATGTTTCCAACAGAACTTCCATAATTAACTCTACCGGAAAACCATTTTATACAGCAATTCCATTTAGTATAATCTCCACAGGAAGTTGGAAAATTAATTAATCCATGAATCAAAACGCTAATTGAAGCATTTTTCGGCAATAGTCACTTACCTATTGTGGGGATGGGGATGCTATTATTTACCTCCCTTTCCCCTCACAGTGTTGGTGGTACCTACATAAAATTATCTACTGTAAACTAGCACGTTGCCTGTTAGAATTAATTTTGGCAGCTATTACATACGTTCCAGACGTAACATTATATAACGGGATTATATAATTGTTTGTGGGTGCAAAACACTCATTGAAGCATAACAAAACCATCACAATTAGTTAATTTAATAAACCTACGGCTCATTTTTTTATAAACACAAATTGATACTAAATTAATTTATGAAAAAAAAGATTAGGAAGTCATTTGTTTTGGTAAAAAGTTCTAAGATTGATTTAAATTGCATTTTAAACTGCATCTACAGAATTGAACACACTTGAGTTTGTCAACAATTTATTAAAGTACCTATGGAAAATCGGACGTTGGATAATCTTGTTATGTGTTGTTGAGCGTCGGCTGAATAATAGGAGCTTTTCAAATGGTTCTACTAGGCTGCTGTCAATAGAAATAAGCCCTAACCGGAAATGGTCCCAAAATGTTACAAATGTGGCGAGTTAGGTCATCGTAAGCGGGACTGTAAGAATTCCAAGGTGTCCATGTCTGCGTTTGTTAGCCAATCGGATATTGTCAAATCTGTGGATTCTCCCAATGGTTGGATTGCAAATTACGGTACAACGTAGCACATGACCATGAACCGTAATTGGTTTTCTTCGCTTCTGCAAATTCATGAAAAAAAGTATTACTTTCAAAAC